TTTTTTTTAAACCTCTTTTCAACCAACGGCAGTCACTCTCCTCTCCAAATAACTTCTGCTGAGCTTTCCGAGCTTCCCTCGGGTCCTCTTGTGACGCGTGTTCGAAATGCAGAGCAGTGCGCTCGATTTGCCACACGGAGCAGCGCGAGAGTAAAGCATGAGGGAGGGGCTAATAATCGGCTCAGTCATTTTTAACGATCGTTGAAAGCCCAGATCGTAATCGAGATTAAAATTCGATTAATTGAGCAGCCCTACCAGGATGTTCAGTACGTCCCACCAGCTCAGTAGTGCGAGGCCAAGCAGGTTGGCAGCTGTTCTATACAATGAATATTCTTTTCCCTCTATTTTAGTCGTAGCATCTACACAATAACTGCACAGCTCTTGAGTTGCTCCTGACCTGATTGGAGGGAGCCCGTTTTAATATGTAGTCAGCAGCCAATAAGCTTGCATATGACACAGGAAGTCTGCGTGCACCTGGGGCTCCACCTGTGCGTCCCACTTCTTGTTCTGGACTCCCTCACCCAGTGGGAACAGACACAGGTTGTCTGAATACGAGCTCAATCGTCCAGGTCAGGAAATCCCAGGAACGTGATTGTTTGCCTTCGTGTAGCGTTTTCAGTGGGAGGGACATGTTCATACGACTCTTTTCAGGAGGTCTTGGAAGAGTATTGTCTGTACAGTAAAGTGTGAGTTCTGGCTTCTGTCCTGCTGTTAGTGTTTCTGTAAATAGAACAAAGGGAGGGAACGAGAACATTGTGCTGTGGAAGTGGAACTACAGCCACTGGTTGAGTGTCATGGCCCTTTATCCAATTATTGATTCTCCAAAATCACATTTCAGGTTCACCCTGTCAGACGCTGTTTCTGTCTCTAGTGATGTCATCGTGAACATTTACTGTTCTTGAAGAGCTGGATGGTTAACTGTGTGCCCGCCTGTCAGGGTCAATGTTAATTATTTATGTGATAACACTACGATTAAACAACACTGCTTGTGGTTCAGTTTTCAGTAAAAATGCATTGATTGTACTGAGCTGTGCTGTCTTGTTCTTGGCTGTCCCATCAGGCCCTCCCAGCTATGTGCCAGCTACAGCCTTCCTGCAAAATGCAGGTCAGGCCCACCTAATCAGCCAATGTGAGAGCCTGGAGGCGGAGGTGAGCACCTTGCTGCAGCAGCGCCGTGGAGCCCTCCGCAGCTCCCTGGAGCAGCTTCACAGCTATGCCACAGTGGCTTTGCTGTACCCACGGGCTACCCTAGTATTCCACAGGGCCCATCAGTGGAAGGCCTGGTTGGAAGAGCTGCTGAGAGACATGACAGCAGATCACTGCCAGCACATCTACAGACAGTAAGGAGCCACGCATTGTCTTTTCTCATTTTCATTGGTTAACCCTAGGACTGCATGTGTCGCTTAGCTGGTACCAGCCTTACTGGTGACCAGTCCTCGCAGAGTCCCTAAAATGTTTTTGGTGAAGAAGCACCCCTGAGACCCACCGTCAGGTCCAAGTTACACACCTAAAAATGTCCCCTATGATAGTTCTCTTCAACTCGGCAAACATCCTGTGCGCCCCTTCACCTGAGTTACCTGCAGATACCTGCAGTTCATGAGACAGGACAGGTTGCAGCATCACCATGAATCCAAGCTTATGTTCTGCTCCTCATGGTGTAACTCACGATACCAGCTAAATGTGTGTCTCTCTCTTTCCAGATATGAGTTGCTGTTTGCTCCACAACCTTCTGCTGCCTCCTGCCAGTTTCTTTCCAGTGTGGAATTGAGTCTGCAGCACCAAGTGGCTGACACCAACGAGCGCGTGGTGCACCAAGCAGAGCGGCTGAAGGCTGAGGGCACCACAGTAGCAGCGTGTGAGGAGCAGCTGCAGGAGATTGAGCACTGCATCACAGTTTTCCTGCGGGAGAATGGAGAGCCAGGTTCTCTCAGCCTGGCTGCAATCATCACCTCTGCCCTCTGCACACTCTGCAGGTTTCATTCACATTTCCATTCTGTGTCTCACAGTTTTCAGTCCCTGTGACTGTCTGTGAGGCTTTAATTGTGTCCGTACTGTAGGTCAGCAGACAGATGAATAAGAATCTGGTAGTATGAGGTCCAAACACATGCTGATGTAAGTGACGGCAGCCAAACGTGGGTGGGAAAAACTCAAACCTAACACCAGAGTTTCTGAGTCAGTAATCTGAAGAAATCCACTCAGCGGCACTAAAAACCCTGAAAGACCACTTAAAGCTCTGGTTAAGGTTCAAACCACTGGTTAGGACTGAAAAGATTTAAAAAGTCTTTGTTTCTGGAAAAAAGATCTTTGGTAAGATAAAGCAGGAGGAAAGAAACGAGCCCCAACCTGAACCACATGGTGATGGTCACTCATGTCTATAGAAGGCTGTAAGCATTCAGACGGTGCAGCTCATCTTACTGAAGGCGGCCGCAGTCTTAGACGAGTGTCTCAAGTGAGGACACCACCTTTGTGGGATCTACAGTTCAAGAATGCAAAATAATGCTAAACAAATTTTTAAAAGAATATTTGCATTTAAAATGATGATGTTGTTTTTATTTGTTCAGTTATTTTTGAGACTGGATTGTCAGGTAGCGGCCCTCTTCTGTCTGAAGTCGGTCACCATCATTATTTACGTTTTAAAGAAGGTGATTCCTGCACGAGCGCTCCACAAAATCATCCTGCTGCCTGTTGTTGCATTGGCACAGAGCTTTAAAGGTTGTATCCCGAAGCAATCTGCTAGCCTGTTGGCCTTGTCACAGGCTGCTCTACAGACTGGAAGCAGGCCTCCTCATCCAGCTCTCGGCGATTTGTCTTTGCTGTCAGCACGACTGAGTCCTGGTCAGATCATGTAGGACTCTGTTTTCTTTAGTCAGACTTGGCCAACTCACCTGTGATTTCCATGGAAGCTAGCAGGCGTGCTACTGTTACTGATCTCACACGTCAGAGTGGGCAGAAGGTCACATGGCGAGAAGTGCTCTGTGCATAAAGTGAAGCGTCTATAGCAGCATGCGGTCATGTGAAAAAGAGAGTGCACCGTTTTTACTTATGGGGCTTTAATGGGACGTAATAAAAAACGATGTGGTCCTCAGCAGCGTTGGAAATGAGATCAGTCCGACCTCGGTGTGGATGGGTTTGAGTGGGTGGATAAAAGCTGCAGTGGACACAGTGAACCCACTTTTGTCTTGTGTTTGATTGACCGTAGACGCAACCTGGTGATGGAGGGTGCAGCAACCAGCGCCGGGGAGCAGCTCGTGGACCTGACGTCTCGGGATGGGGCGTGGTTTTTGGAGGAGCTATGCAGTATGATTGGAAACATCAATGGGCTTGTAACACTGCTGCAACGCTGCCCACTCTTAACTCATGACCTGGAGCTCCCTCCACCTTCAGCTACCACCCAGGTTGTTTACCTGGCCAGTGCTGTGTATACGTGCTTGCAGGTAGGTCCACCTGCAAACTATGAAGCCGCGCAGGAACAGGCTGAGGCCGTGTAAAGTCTTTTTGCTGACATTGCTCTGGCCTGTCATCTTTTTATTGCAGGAGCTGAACACCAATTTCCGTCAGATCATCTTTCCAGAGGCTCTGCGATGTATGATCAAAGGAGAGCCGACTCTGGAGTCCATGCTGGCAGAGCTGGAGCAGCTGGTAGATCAGAGCTCTGATGGTCTTGGCCTGCAAGGTTTGGCCGATAGTTTGCAAACCGGCACAGGCCTGGACCACAACGGCCGTAACCACTGCCTCCACATCACCAGGTGGAGTTCCTGTCGTGCATTTTTAGCGGACACAGTGCTGTTTAACTTGCTGCTAACCTGCATGCTTAAAGTTTGTTTTGTGTGTGTCTGTTTGTCAGAATGCTGCGTGTGCAGTACTCTGAACTGATCCAGCCTCATAGCATGGATGGACAGGGCCAGGACACACCAAAGATGTCTGCAGGTCAAATGTTGTTGGTTGCCTTTGATGGCATGTTCACTCAGCTGGAGACGGCCTTTGGGCAGCTGACTGAAAAGGTAGCGCTTACATTTCTGCACATTCAGTGAATGCATGTTACGACCCGGCTCCAAAGCTGCGACATAAACATGGAGACTGATACCAGAATTTCACAGAGAAGAGCTTTTATTTTAAATCGCATAACAAGTTGGCTAAAATAGCTGGTACCACTAAGACAAACAGTAGTGAGCCTTTATGAAAGCCCGCCTCAGGTAGGCCTTTAGCCACACCTGGTCAATTAGCAACAACTGTACACTCTTGCACTGCCACTGCAGAGAGAGTAGGGGCTGCAGAGGGCAGAACAATGCAGCGAAAGACCTAAAATGACATCAGAAATCCTCGTCACGTCTGTAACGTGATATTTTTATGACTCACGGTGCATTTTATAGCTTGTTTATTTTAAATATTGAGTTCAATTCTGTACCATAACTGGCCGCCAGGTTCCATGTTATTCTCAACACAGGCATGGTTGTGTACCAGCACAGCAAACAACAGTGCACTTTGTATCCTGACAGCAGGTGGAAACAGTGCAGGATAAGCTTGATCCAGTCCTAACCTGCTCTTCAGGAACTAGTCTGCGTTTCTTACACTGTTGTTTCCTGGAGCGACTAATATTACTTTGCTCTGCATTATCCTTAGCTGAGTTCTTTAGAGGTGCCGCCCCTGTGGAGAAAGGTGGATGTTCTGAGGGAGGCCCGAGCCACACAGCTCCACTTCTTTGATAGCCTGAATCAGCGTCAGCTGATGGAGGAAGTGTTCTTCATCAAGAGACTGCAGACCATCAGGGATTTCTTCAGGCTGTGTTCCTCGTTTGCTCAGACTCTTTCTGGTAAGAGCTCTTCACGGCCACACAGACTGAGGATGAACTTATCATGTTGTTGCACTTTATTAAAAGCACCCACTTGATGCCATGAACACTATAGAGAGGGCTGAGCATTGTTAAAATATTGGTTTAGCCATGATCTACAGCCTTCTTCCACTATGAAGTGTTTCTGGATGTTTGCACTTTGACAAAGTCAGACTGCTCAGTGTTTCGCAAAGAGAGAACATAGCTTTCCGAGGTATTTGTGAGCTCCGTGGTTTAAATAACCAGATATTCTTGCGGCATGTCTGATGTCTGTGGGACAAATCTTTGCAGGCACCTGCGCCCCAGCTGAGGAGCTGTTACCTACAAATGGACCTGTTGGTTTGGGGAAGTCCCTGTACGGCCGGCCCAGCAGCACTGGGTCGGGTGCAGCAGTGGTCAGTGAGGAACAGATGATTCGTCCCATCAAGGCCTTCACTGCTGAGTTTGTCCGGCAGATGCTTATGGGTATGCCCAGCCAAGCCCTCAGTCTGGCCCTCTGCAGCACCCTCTCTGCCCTCGGTGTGGACATTGTTGCTCAGGTGGAAGCAAAAGACTTTGGTGCAGAGAGCAAGGTATGATCTGTGTGGAATTATGTGGTGTTCAGTATCTTTGTTCTCTCAACGTTCTTTTCAACCTTCTTCATGTTCTCCATGTCAACGTTAAAAAAGTGTTCGTTATTGAATTTTTCCAACTATCTTAAAGGAGTCTTTAGAAATGCTGAGCACCTGTTGGCTGCGTTCTAGTTCAGGTTGGTTGATCTGTTGATCGTTGCTGCCCATCAGGTAGTCCTTACTCAGCCTGTTTAAAAATAAGTATCGCAGCTGCAGAGTAATCCGTGTGTTTGAGTTGATAACCTGTTCTTTCAAAGCCTCCCCCTGACTGTCGGACAGTCATCGCCCTTTCTGGATCTCATACTCGTGTGTCACCTGTTCCAAATATTTTTCATGTTGCAAACTTCTTCCACAATGGATTCTTCATTTTTCACCGTGGAAAAACCTTATTTACAAAAAACCGTGTGTGTGTGTGTGTGTGTGTGTGTGTGTGTGAGAGAAATGTTGAATGTTTTAGTGTAGATGCAGAGTGGATACACATTTATTGTTCCAGTTTTCAAAGACTGTAAAGAATACCATAAAGTAACCTTTGCTATGTGTGTTCCTCCAAAGGTTTCTCTGGACGAGCTCTGTAAGAAGGCAGTGGAGCAGGGGCTGACGTCAGGTCGAGTCTCCCAGCTGCTGTTGAACAGAGCCACAGTGCTGGTGTCGTCCTATGACACAGCATGGAAAAAAGCTGACCTGCTGAGGAGGCTGGATAGCAACCTGGAAGCTGCCAAGGCCAGCCTGCAGAGGAGCCAGCTGCACATCGCTATGTTCCAGGTACATGCACCAGTAGTGCTGCTCTTGGAGTTGTGATCACTTTTCACATCACAAAAAATACTTCCAGCCGCCTGCGGTGTAAGCTGAAGATCAGTGAAGCTAACACAAAGTGCTGCAAAGAACGGGGCGAGTTCTGGTCAGCTGTATTAGAATCATGATGATGTCTGGATCATCTCTGACGTGACTTCATGTCATTTGGTGATTGTGCAAATATACCACTGTTTTTATTGGTGCATTTCTTCCAGTGGCAGCACGAGGATGTTCTGGGTCCCAGCAATCAGCCTTTAAGTGTCAGCATTCCTCCTCGTTCTGTGATCCTCAGCAACATGAAGAAGAAGCTGTATAAGCTGAGTCAGGATGAAGCAGCCATCGTTGCCATTCAGGTGAGTTTGTCTTCATTCCCAGATCAAAACCATAATAGTTTCTGGCCACTTTAGGAGAAGGACATTTTTAAACATACTTTAGTATGTTTAACATAGGAACTACTACAGGAAACTCTCATAGTACAGTTAAAGTGCAGCAGCTCAGAAACATTACCTGAAAGGCATGTCAGTGAAATTGAGGAAAAGCCTGCTGGGTTGCCGGGCGAACCACAAGTCCTTCAAGCTAACTTAAGGTTATGTATGTAACCCAGGTTCTCTGAGTATCAGATGTGAGTGCCTCACTGTGGGGACGCCCCTCATCAGAAGCTGCTGTTACACCAGCCCCTGCAGGCTGGCTAAGTGACGCCAATGTCAGGAGGGGCCTCCCTGTGTATAGCGTCAGGTGTCATTCAGAACGCAGGAGGGCGTCTGGTGAGACGCTCACTTATGCTACTTTAGCAAAAAGGAAAGTTTGAAGCCTGATTTCAACCAAGCGACGCCCCCTTTGTTGTAGCGTTCATGTCGCATTGCTATGACGACAAGCATGCACACTGTGTTGTAATGGGAAACCAGTCTATGTATCTCACATGCACCCACCCTCTCTTCCTCCTTTACCATGGAAACGATCCTGTCGTCATGTGCATCCACCTCAGTATGTGCGTCGCACCAGTGAAGTGCAAAGTATTCCTCTCAGAGCTTCATTATGACTTTGTAATAATATTTCCGCTTATCGTTATCAGGATTGTGAGTTGTATGAAACATTTCTCCTGTTGGTGGTGTCTTCAGGAGAAGCTAGCGTCGCTGGAGGCTAGCATCGAGCAGCGTTTGAAGTGGGCCGGTGGAGCCAACCCAGCACTGGCGCCTGTCCTGCAGGACTTTGAGATGACCATCAGAGAGAGACGCGCCATGGTGGCCAGAGACAACCAGCGCACCAGCCAGGTACAGCCGCTGCTGTGTTCGCCTCCTGCTGTCACTGATCACCACATTTGGACAAAATGCCAATTTTGCCACTCTTCCTTTCCAGGTCACATTCCTGTGCTCCACCATCCTCAACTTTGAAGGCCTTCGGACCCGATCCCCCGAGGCTCTCAGCATGGACGCAGCCCTGTTTGAACTGCTGAAGCGCTGCCAGCAGACGTGTTCGTACGCGGCCCAGTTTAGCAGCACGGTGTCTGCACTGGAACTCCAGCTCCTGCACAGACTGGTTGGTTTGACCTTTGACCTACATTTCTGTCAACAAGTTTTTCTGGTGCAGCCTTGTTTTTGTACCACATGCACTGATAACATTTTAAATAATTAGTCCTTCATCTTTAATAACATTCATTTCCACATGTAATGCTCTGCTGTCACATGTAGGATATGAAACCTAGTTCCAGCCAGCATGCAGTCAGACAACCAGCTGAGTTAATAAACAAACATTTCCTGAGGCCAGAGCGAGGGTCAGTTTTCTCCTGTCGCTGTCTGGACAACCAGACTTTACAGGTGCTAGCGGAACATTAACCGCTGTTGACATGTAACGCTTGGAGTTCCTACTGAAACTAAATGTTTCTGTTTGCATTCACAGTCTAACAGATGTTTGTATGAAACATGTTCTTTGTGTTTCTCTATCAATGGCCACCATGTTTGAGTGATCACCCAGTGAGTTTGGAGAAACTTGATAAGACGGCGATGTGCTTTCCATTGCTACAGAGTCCAGTGCTAGACCTGCCTATAGGCAGTGTGGAGTGGCTCAGCTGTGCCCAGAGGCAGCTGGAGGAGGAGCTAAACATGGAGCAGAGGAATCAGGAGGAACGGGAGCAGCAGCTGGAAACCTGTGGAGAAACACTGCAGCTGCTGGTGGACTCGATCAAAACCATTCTCTCTAATCACAACCGCCATTTAGCTGACGTCAAGCACCTGCTGAGGGCCATGGCCAAGGTACACCTGAGGCACACACACAGCTGATTTTAAAATCTGGGGTGTTTTCACCACTGTTATGTGTTTGCCATTTGAATAAGTGTAGAAGATGAGCGAGCACAAAGGTTTAAAAATGGTCCACACGTGTGTTGCACGTTGCTGCATCCTGCTGTGAACCTGCAGTCGTCACTGTTCTCATGTCGTACAGGATGAGGAGGCAGCGCTGGCAGATGGTGAAGAGGTGACATACGAGGGCAGCGTGCGTCACTTCCTGTTGGAGTACAAAGCTTGGCAAGACAACATCCAGTTAGTGCTGTTCACTGTTGTCCAGGCCAGTGGACAGCACCTCAGCCAGGAGCAGCTCGAACTACTGGAAGAAATCCCCAGTACTCTGAAAGAGCTGCACTCACAGAGCCAGAGGTGCTTGGGTCACACACACACACACTGATCTTTTTAATTTTCACATAAAAATCGTATTAATTATTATTAATAATCGTTATTAATGCACGCGTTTATTCCAACAGCGTCTATAACGGCCTGGTGGGCTTTGCCTCCCCACTGGTGACCGACAGAGACACTGAGTGCTCCAGTCCTGTTTCTGCAGCACAGTCGAGCTTTGCAGCAGGTAGGGCCTCCCGATGTTGTAGCATGCTACAAACCTTATGGGGGGAAATGGGTTTTCACTGGTGTCAGTGTGCGTCCTGTCAAGTGAACATGTGGCACGTACACACACGTGTGTGTTTGTTATGTTTTTCATTTAGCTGTCAGATGCAGTGGGGTGAAAACCCAGCCAGACTCGATGTCCCAGAATGCACGCAAGGCTCTCCCACGCAACCTGGGAACCCCGACCGATACCCCGCCCAGTACTCTAGTGAGCAGTAAAGGTCTCAACTCCAGCCCCAAGAGGGCTGTACGAGACCCCAAAACAGGACGAGGTACTCTTCCTTCACTCTCCTCACAATCTTTGGAAACTGGGGCTTTTGAAAAAGCAGCAGGTTTCACAAATATGTAATATGTATGCAGCGGTCTGAGGTCAGAAGAGCATTCGTTCCCTTTCTCAGAGTGAGGATTACAGTCTCAGTACTTGTGTTCAGCAGGAGTTGTAGGCTTGGTGCATACCTACCTTTAGCAAATGAAATTGTATCCCAGTGACTACACAGGTTCCTGTGCAGAACAAACATTAACATTAGAGACTTCATCTCAACAAACACTTTGTTCGATTTCAGCGGTCCAAGAGAGGAACTCCTACGCGGTCAGCGTGTGGAAGAGAGTGAAAGCCAAACTGGAGGGCCGAGACATCGATCCCAACAGGAGGATGAGTGTCTCCGAGCAGGTAGCACGTCATTTTGTAACCACCAGGAGAATAGGGAGGCACGTCAAAGCAGCCTCGTGACAGGATGAAGAGGTTGTTTAAAAGAAACAGTGTGAAGTAGATGTCTGCTGCCGTGAGAGTCGCATGGATTTATCAGATGTCTGAAGCCTTTGTAATGCAGCAGCAGTGGTCTGCATGAGTCTGAGCACAGCAAAGTCCAGTTTTAAACAAAGACTGGAATCAGATCGTCTGAGCAGATTCATTATGAAAGGGTCAGGGATCGTCACAATAACGCTGTCTGTATTTAAAACTGACCACATCTGCTTTGGTTGCAGGTGGACTTTGTTATCAAGGAGGCTACCAACATGGATAACTTGGCCCAGCTGTATGAGGGCTGGACTGCATGGGTGTGAACGCTCTGCTGCTTCATGTCTGGTCCAGCGAAGGCTTGGAGATCCACCAGAGTCCAGCGGGACTTGGGTGTCAACACAGCAGTACCAGGCCATACTAGGGGAAGAATATGGGACGTGGATGCTTAGTCCACCCTCCCGCACCCCTGGGTACCCAAACTGGGGCAGCAACCTCGTAGCATTGCTGCAACCACACTCCCCCCAACAATGGGTGATTGGGCTAACACGGCACTTGGTGCGCCTGCTGACCGGCCTTCCTTTTTGGGGTCTGAGTGGGCATGGTGGCACCAGGAGAGGAAGGAGGGAAGGAAGGCAACAGCCACCTCACCCTCAACTTGAAAATACCTTCCCTCTCTCACCTACATTGCTGACTGTCAAGTTGTACCTATAAACATCACTGCATCTTTTTGTGGCTGTCAGAGCCCAGCAGAGGGCGGGATGAAGCGAGAGGTGAGCCGTTTTCCTCCGGAGCACACAGCTGGGACTTTACTGTGGCTGAAACTCAGTGGACGGTTAGACGGCTTACACGGCTACGCGTTTTTCTCTCAACTTTTGGCATCATCATCCTGAGCAGCCAGTGGGTAACACTGTGAGGGAGGACGGAGTGAAATGGGGGTTTAAAAGACTCTATTTCAATCCAGCTGCGAGCACGGTGGAAACGTAATAATCAAACTTTGCTTTGGTTGTTAAAAAGAACAAACTTGACTCTGAAGTGCTGTTAGATTTCACCGAATAAAAGATGAAGTAGAATTGTTTTCTCAGGAGGTCTTTTCTGTTTTTTGTGGTTGCAGCTGAAACACCCTGTCATGTTCGTTTCAGGTGGCTGTGAGTCAGCTGAAGGGAAAACCTCTGCTTGATTTTCTTCAGTGTGGATCTTTAATCTGTGTTGTGCTTTACTATCAGTAGGATTAGATTTCTGCCTTTTTCCAACTTGCCTGTCTCGAGCTGCTTGCATCATGTACTTACACCCCAAGCCGCAATGCTTGCGTTTTATGATTTTGGACCTTCTAGTTTTACATTTTTATTGGGAGAAATGTTGTTTTTGGTGATGGTGAAACATGTTAATTCTTAAAGCTTTTATTGGATTTTGTTGGATGCCAAATAAACGTGGAACAGAGAGGTGTGCTGTTTTCTGTGACAGTTGCTAAAGACCAGGGGTCTGCTGGAAATGACCATCCTCGCCCAGCTCAACTACGTAGGGATGCTAACTTACCTACGACACAGAGAAGTCTTCAACCAGAGGGGTCGACAAAAGCTGCCTGGGTCGATTTTGTACAGTCAGGTCGGATCTGTTTGTTGCATCTGAATTTCTTGATCTTCTGAAGCTCATCCAGGCGAGACAGTGATATTAGACGCCTTATGTCAAAACTAGTGATTTATGGCCCCCTGTCAAATGAATAATGACTTAGTAAGTATTAAAGGAAGTAATAAAAGTTAATGGCAGTCCTCATTTTTATGAATATCATAAAATTCTGATATAACCCCCAAAACTGGATCATAAAAATATGGCAAGCATCAGATGTTTGAGACAGAAATTAAAATGATGGAATAATAAATCATAATGTCGTGCTGTTGTCATTTTAAGACAAAGTTTACTTTTTTTACTTTTTGAAAGGTTTTTATGGACCTGTGTGAGAAAATGTGTTAAACCACAGTAAAAAGGTTATTAGGATAAGATGCTGGTTATTGTCATGCAGTCACACATGGTGCAATAAGACAACGCAATCGGAAACTGTCCCACGTCGGCACAACACAGTAACTTGAAGTGGACTTTTTTAAGCGCAAGAAAGGTACGAGTAAAAAAAAAGAAATGAGTGACTGTTTATTGCAGATTATTGTTGTGGGCAATAATAGTAAAGTCCAGGGAGGTATTCAATCAGCTCAGCTGTTTGCATTGATTAGGGCTGTTACCTGATGTAAAAGCCGTCCTTCAGTCTGTTTGTCCGCGACCTCAGCAGCCTGAACATCCTGCCAGACGGCAGCAGCTTAAACACCCGATGTCCTGGGTGTGGACGGTCCCGTAGGATGCTGCAGCGGGAGAACCATCCACAGGTGGAGCACACTGTCAGTGGAGCAGCAGTAGAAGACGATCAGAAGCTCCTTCTTCGGGTCCATTTTCTGAGGATTCTTAGAAATTGGAGACGCTGTTGGGCCTTCTTTACAATTATTATTCCAATATAATTATTTTGGAAATATTTCCAATATTATGATTCTGAATTAAACCAGTGCTTTTGTAACAGGATGGAGGGAGCTGGAGGCTGCACGCCCCGCTGGAAGGCTTTCACTCGTTTTATTTTATTTTCCTTTCTTGGATTAAAGTCCGAATTATAAACGCTCCACCTCATGTAGAGGATCGTACCAGAGTGAGGATCCCCGAGAGGGTCGCACAGCAGCCGGTGTGGGTAAAGTAACATCTGACTCACGGTGCGACCCCCGAGCTGGGACTCCTCCCTGATCCACCAGTAAAGCAAAATAAAATATTTAATCTTGTATTTGTGTACTTTGTGGTTATTGAATAAAGATTAGTCACTGATAAACACAGATAATAATAATAATGGATTGGATTTATATAGCGCTTTACAATGCCACTATTCATTCACTCTCACATTCACACACTGGTGGAGGCAGCTACAGGTGTAGCCACAGCTGCCCTGGGACAGACTGACAGAAGCCACCTCTGGCTGATGGCGCGATATGGCAGATGACTGAAAGAAATGTTTGATGGAAAAAGGAACCAAAGTGTTTTGTTGCTAAACTTTGAGGTTCCAAGTCACCAATGGTTAAATAAGAAAATGCCAAGAGGAGACGAGCAGCCCCGAGTCTGTAGGTAAAACAAACTCCACAGCAGAGATGCTTGTTCTTACATAGGTGCTCTTACTCTTTGTTAGGGTAGATCTCATTTTAAAGGCCGTTTTGTTGCCATCCTGTGATCTCATTCTGTTTCCAGGGGTCAGAATGTTGACGTTAGACTGTTTGGAATCAGGTTGTGATCTTAAAGTCACAGCACTGATTTTACAGTAGTAGTTACAGTATAATGTCCTTTACATTTCCAAACTCCAGTCATGGTTATGGGGACATTTAAGTTGTTGTTTTGTGTGACTGCACACTGCCCATCAGAGGACACTCAGTAAGCTGCACAGCAGAAGTATGAATCCAGTTTCATTTACAACAACAGTCACCTGGAAGTGAAACAGTTAGTCGCAAAAATGGTGGAAATTGAATAAATTGGAAAATAATTTTCCAATTTAGAATAAATCAAATGACTTGATTAACATTTCTGGTTTTATTTATTATCACACCTTTATTATCTATGACAAAGTGTGTACAGACTGTAAGGACGACTATCTTAACTGTTAAGCTCACCCTCCCAACATACGTCTGTGTGCATTACTGACATGATGTCAACATATCAAGGAGTTTATGACTTCTCTGTTTTTCTTTTCTCAAAGATTTCACAACATGTGAAGTTACAGCACAGTTTGTCCAAATGTGTACTTGTTTTTTCATGATGATTTTACAGCATCCACATTAGCTCAGGTAATAAAAGTACAATCATCACACAGACCGGAAGTGAACTTTAATGTTCCAGGTTCTGTGGAAGTCTTGTTAGATGATGTGAACCATCTCATGGGTCTTATTAGCAGCTCCTTTTAGCTTCTGTGATGCATTTACTTCTCTCACCTTAAACTAGACGTTAGTGTGGTCAAAGTTAACCCGTGTCCTGTTGCCATTTGTATTTCTAAAGCCCAACTTCAGTGTTCAGCCTGTAGACTCTCAGGTGGAAACACCGATGAATTGAGACATTCACAGATTTTATCAGGACATCTTTAACGTCTTAAGTTTTTGTTGTTTTTATGTTTTACATAAAAAACTTTAACGTTTTATATTTTCAAATGAAAACACAGCAACATGAAAAGATATTTTTCTTTAATGTTGTTGCTGCAGCAATCTCAAATACTAATTATTCTGAGCTTTCTCTGATGGTGCAAATGTTGTGACCAAGAATCATTCAGGGTTATCAAAACAAACTGTTTTAATAGCAGAACAGTTCTCAGAGGTTACTGGTTTAAAGGCCATGTAAACCAGTTAAAGTCTAGGAGACAGCGGGAAAGTGGTAGATTAGTGAAAGAGAGAAGACAACTGAGGGAACAGTGGAGGAAGGCCTATGAGACAGAAAGGGAGGGACTCACTGCCCTGCAGGAGGAAATAAAGCAACAACTTACTAAGCTGCAAAGAGCAGAACACCTCAGACGACAACGTAAGAAGAAAGAACGGACAAGGACCCTTTTCTACAGCAGCCCATACAACTTTGTTACGGGCCTTTTTGTTGAAGAGCAGAGCGGGTGCCTCAAAATGCCCATAAAAGACCTGGAAGATCATCTGAGGAAAACTTACTCTTATGATCAGAGGCATGAGCCAGTTACCATTCCGACTGATATGCCACCCATCCAGGCACCTGAACACCAAATGGACATAAGACCACCTACATGGAGTGAAGTGGAGAAGGTAGTGAAGCAGGCAAGAGCAGCATCGG